TTGCCTGCCACGGCTCGTGCTGTTTTTTTACAACATTACCTCTTGTTTTTATAAAATGTACCAAGATTTAAATTGATAATTTTATTTTACATGTAAAAAGAAACAATTTCTTTTATCACCAGTGTTAGAGTTGTCTTCTGTTTGTTTTTGTTTCGTTTGTTTGTTCTTTTTTAGCCAAAGAGTAAACAGAAGAATATTCTTATTTTGGTGGCTATTCATTTTATTCTTAAAAGTGATTGGTGGATTTTAGCCTAAAAATTGAGGAATTTGCTGCCAAAATGAAAAATATGTAAAGCGTAGTGATTACAGAGTGGTAAAAAATGTGGGTTAGTACTTATTTATTCCATTGATTGATTATTTGACTGTTTATAATGAAAGTTGCTTTATTTCTTTAAACATCTTCAAAAGATGACCTTTTCTTGTCATACTATAGCCAAAAGAAGCAGAGAACATTGTTGTCCTGCATTTGGTTCCTGGTTGGCCAGATATAAATGAGCTTTACAAAAGTGTGAATTAAAACTGTCATTTCTGTTTACCTCCACCAAAACTTGATTTCCCCCTAGCTATTAATTTAAAGTTGCCTTTCCTGCACTGCAATATTTTGAATAACACACAGAGTTTGTGTTGATTTTGAATGTTTGTTTATATCTAGGGGTAATGGAAAATGTAAATCCAGTGTAACCTTATTCACTCCACCTGTATCATATTATTTCATTTTCCCCAAAGTCCTTTAATTCTAACTGAACACCAGCAGTATTTTTAGAAACTCTTTGGCATACTTGGAAGATGATTTATTAAGCTGAACTGTCTTTAGACGTAATTATTGTGAATGTCTGTTTTATTTTATCATGGTGATTCACATGGCGCTGATGTTCAGTTTGTATTTTTGGAATTGCTTTACGTAGAATTAAAACAGACCAACATTAAATGTGTGTATTTTTTAAATAGCTAATGAGTTTTGCTTCTGTATTTGCTTAAAAATACACACTGGTGCAATAGATGACTACTTTTATTTAGCTCAGGGAGCTAAGGATTTTCTAATTCCATTGTAAATATGTATGTTCACTTGAATCAATCTTTATAAAACTTCGCTTTCATTTTTCTCTTGCCCCCAAATAATAATTATTGCATGCTCATCTTAAACGATCCTTAAAAACTTACTTGTTAAGCCAGTTTGTATTCTTTATACTTGAAAGACAGTATACCTCCCTCTCTCTACCCTACCCCCCAAATTAAAAAAAAAAAAAAATTCAGACTTTCAACTATGTTTTTTTCTTACTTACAAAGAAGGTGTCAGGGTTCATATAAAAGGATTTTTTGTTTTTTTCCTAGAAAGCTTTGTCCCCACCTAGGCTACAGAAAGAAAAGATGTACAATATATCATATATTATCAATAATATATTGATATATCAATAATAATATCATACTCATTTAATTCTTTTGTTTTAAACAAATACATTTTTATAAATACCCTTGTAATAAATAGTAAATATGGATTCTTAGGCTTTTAGGTGATCAAACAAAATCACAACATGAGCTATCAGAGTTATTTTAGGAATTCTAATGTAGGGGTGATGAAGTCAGTTCTTGCTAGGTATATTTTATTATTAAATGTTCAATGGAAGTGTGAATGATCATGGATATGTGAGTTGATGGGGGTACCTCTCCTTTTTTATTTTGCAAGGTATGTCGAACTAGGCGTGTTTGGTTTCTTTTGTGTATACAGAAGATTTCTATTATGTGTTGGGGACTATAATTCTGGTTTTTTGGGGGCCACTTGATTTTCTGCTACGTACTAATAAGTTTTTATTGGAACATAATCTGACTTGCATTGTTATAGCAGATTGTTTTATAATGTGGTTCTAGAGGTTTTTGAATGAGGATGTGATGGCAAAGGAAGATGTGTGTGCAACTTTGGGAAATAGAAAAGAAGCCTTCTTTTATGGGGATGTTTTCCTCTTTAACGATATTTGAGTATCTCTATGAATACACACTCCCCAAAATCTCCTTTTGTTTCTTCTGTGGCAGTTAATCAATCATGTGCTTTCCTCAGGAAAATAAAAACTTGACAGTTAAAGTGAGACTTTCATCTGATCATGGATTCTTTTCTAATTAATAGTAGTTAGAAACCAGATGTCTGACTGAGCAATTTGAAGATTGGCGAAGCTGTGAAAGCAATCTGGCTCTCTGAATAACCAATAGATAGGAGCAAGTACAGCACAATATTTATCTTACTATCAAAGTGTCTTGGAGAAAAATAACTAGATTAATATATTTTGCTGACTTTATATTTGAAATTAGAATAAGACTGCAAATGAACTGGCTCACTTTTTTTTCTCTCCCTCCCCCTCCCTTTTATCCAACAAAATCCCTCTTTGCTTGCTCCCCTTGGAGATGATGAGTATTGAAGCTGGATGTTTAGTAACAACTCCTCACTTTAAAGCATCTTCAAGGAGTGTGATAATCTCACTCAGAAAAATTTTCCATTGGATTTAAGCAAGCAAACAAATGAACAAAACCCCCAAAAGGTACATATTGGATAAAATGATAAAATGTACATATTGGATAAAACAAAAATATATTTTGTCATTATCATTAGTCTAATTTCTGTTCCTTTAGTATTCAATCCCTTTTTTCTTTTTTAACTCTATAACATGCTTTCCCAGTGAGTATAATATAGTCCCTAAACTGGCACAAATTGGTTCATGGGGTTTGGGGAGGGGGGCAAGAAAATCTTAAATGGTTTGTGACCCTCCAAAGTTTAACTTTACCCAACAAAAATGTTATTCCTTAATATTTAATTACCTTCGTGTTTGTGGGGTTTTTAATTAGAAAGCCTTTTTTTAATGTCCTCCTGGATCATTGGTCAACCAGAATGGCCAAGGATTTATCTGGCCCAATTAGGAAACATGAGTTGGTTTGAGTTTAATGTAAGTATGGTATTCATAGAGAAAGTATACTAATATTTATTATGGACAAAATAAAAGATAAGGCAAGTAGATTCCCTAAAGTAAATTAGATTTAAAAGCAGTAGAAGAAATGGTAAATTTTAGAGCACCATAAAAAAACATAGTATACGTTGGGCCTATATTGTCCTGGACGCATGGTGTATTTTTTAAATAATTTTTCATGTTTTAATTATAATTGACATACAAAATTATATTAGTTTCAGGCTAGTGATTAGGCATTTATAAAACTTATGAAGTGATCAATGATAAATCTAGTACCCATCTGACACCATACATAATTATTATAATATTACTGATTATATTCCCTGTTCTATATTTTACATCCCCATGACTTTTCTTATAACTACCAATTTGTAATTCTTTTTTTAAAAAATATTTTATTGATTTTTTACAGAGAGGAAGGGAGAGAGATAGAGAGTTAGAAACATCGATGAGAGAGAAACATCGATTAGCTGCCTCCTGCACGCCCCCCATGGGGGATGTGCCCGTAACCCAGGTACATGCCCTTGACCGGAATCGAGCCTGGGACCCTTCAGTCCGCAGGCCGACGCTCTATCCACTGAGCCAAACCAATCATATGGTATGAGTAATTCTTAATACCTTCCTCCTTTCTTCCCCTTCCCCTACCGACCTTCCATCTGTAAGCCATCATAATGTTCTATTAGTTTTTCTGCTTTATTTTGTTTTTAGATTCCACATATAAGTGAAATCATATGGTATGATTGACTTAGTTTACTCTGTCTGACTTAGTTTACTTAGCATAATACCCAATAGGCCCATCCGATGCTGTTGCAGATCCTACAGCTGAGTACAACTAGGTGGTATATATGTACCACTTTTTTATCTATTCATCTGTTGATGGACACTTAGGTTATTTCCATATCTTGGCTATGGTAAATTTTGCTGCAGTTTAAAAAATATATATATATATATATTACTGATTATTTTAAGAGAGGTAGGAAGAGGGAAAGGGATAGAGAGTTAGAAACATCGATGAGAGAGAAATATCGATCAGCTGCCTCTTGCACACCCCCTACTGGGGATGTGCCCTCAACCGAGGTACAAGCCCTTGACTAGAATCGAACTTGGGACCTTTCAGTCCTCAGGCCTATGCTCTATCCACTGAGCCAAACCGGTTAGGGCCCAGTTTTTTTGTTTTGTTTCATTCATGAACTATTTTTTTCCATCCCTTTACTTTCTGCCTGTGTGTCCTTTGATTTGAAGTGAGTCTCTGGCAGGCAGCATATATAAGGGTCTTGTCTTATCCATTCAACCAAATTGTCTTTTGATTGGAG